TTACCAGAAAATAGGAGTTATATTATAAAAATTTGAAAGTCCTTCTATAATGAAATTTAAGGATTTATTCAATCACACTCTCATTAGTTACTTATATCACTGTCCGCATTTTTACCAGGTGCATTCGAATTTGGTTGGCGGGCATCCTGCTGCCCATAGTAACTCTCCAGCACCACCTGTCTCCGGTGCACTGCGCCCGCTGGAGCCGGACCCACTCCACCATCCTGGTTTCGCTCAGTCGCAGCACAGTGGACATCTGGGATCTGCGTAACAGCACCATGAAGCCGGTGTCCTCCACCATAATCGATGGTGATATTTTCTACACCACCTTCAAGTGAGAGATCTTTTTAGATCATCTCTATATAACATTTGCTAGTAAGGATTCTTGTTGTAGGTTCACCCACTGCGGTCGTTCGCTGGCCGTGGGAAATGAGGCTGGCAATCTGCTCATGTTGTCCTTTGAGGACATGCCCTTCCCCCCGCACTTCCAGTACAAGCAGCTGAAGAGAGCCATCTTCAAGGCGCTGTCCATGCAACCAGATCTTCGCAAGCAGGTGAAAAGCGTTGGATACTTTGGCTATCCCGGAGGCAAGAAACAAACAAGAGCTTGAGAATAAGTTTATCAGTATAACAGGTAAATGGAAATGCTAAAGAATACGTTTTTATAAATATTAAAAATAAATATATGAATCAATTAAATGGAAGAATTTACTGGTGAGTGTAGAGGGACATAACTAACTCACACAACTTAAATTGTTTGTGAATTTAATTAAAAAATCAAAGAAACATTTGATTTTTTAAAATACACATTGAGAATATCTGTTATGTTTTAAATAGAAATCATATTTTATAAAAACTAAATAGTAGGATTCAATTTAAAAGTATCAAAAATTCATGTTAAATACAAACTCAACTCTGCTTGTGTTGTGAGACCTAAATTGTTACCTTACTCTCCAATACTTTTTAGCAGTAAAAGAGATTTCCATATACTACCTGGGTTTTTATTTTGAAGAGTATGTTGTTTTTACTGCTCTTCTAGCCACAACTGCTTACATGATATGGCCACAATGCCAGCGTAACATTAAAGCTCAACTTAGCTGACACCTTGAGGCCTTTTTCCTATCGGAACTAACTCACACCCAAGCGGGTCTTATCAATAACCTGCATTTACAATGCAAAACACGGTAAAAGGGGTATACAATAAGGTAGCTCCCAGCACCTTGAGCATATGATAGCCACCAAGTTCAAGCCACCGACGACGCCGACAATGTTTGTGGTTTGCGGCGCAAAGGCAAAGGCAAAGGCGATTACGACGACGTGGCTGACTTTCCCAGTTTTTAGTGCTCGTTTAGTTGATATATCGACGTTCGCCATGCCTCATCTACTGCGGCAGAACCTGCTGTTGCCCACTCCGCCCACGGTGGTCATGCACGATCCTCGCACCCACCTGCGGCACCTGCCCCCCGCCTACAGTCCCGCCCAAACTCCGCTGAGTCGCGAACGGGACTTTGCCCCCCAGGTGCGGTATCACCTGGAGTCGCCACGTAAGCCCAAGTTTCGTCCCAGCAAGGTCATCTTTGTGGGCGATTGTGCCGTGGGCAAGACAGCCATCGTCAATCGGTGAGTACATCATAAACGATTTTATTAAATTTAATTAACTTATCCTATATTTTTGCAGGTTTTGCTACGACAAGTTTCAGTCGAACTACAAAGCCACCATTGGCGTGGACTTTGAGTTGGAAAACTTTAGCATTCTGGGTCACAACTATAGTCTAGAAATGTGGATTTATTTCATCAGGATATGTAATCAATTTTATTATAAATATATTACATTTTTAGGTGGGACACAGCTGGTCAAGAGCGGTTTAAATGTATAGCTGGGGCTTATTATCGCAATGCAAGTGGTAAATATGAAATTAAATTAAAAGCTTTTTTATTTGGTAAAGATGACATTAGTATAAGTATATGAAATTAAATCTATAGAATTAAAGATTTTCTACAAGCCCTTTTTATTTAATACTTGTTTCTTTTTTTCCTTTAAATTTAAGTGATAGTGGTAACCTATGACATGTCGAAGCGTGATACCCTGGAGTCGGCGAAAAAGTGGCTCCACAGCGCACTTAACTACAATACCAGCCAAAAACCTCTGATCTTTTTAGTGGGCACAAAAGCAGATCTCTTGGTAAATTAATTGTTAAACGAAGAATTAAAATAATGAGGGAATTTAATTGTCAGACGAAGGAGGAGTTTGTACGCATGGAGCGAGTGGCGGGAGTGGTAGCAGCTGAACTTCAAGCCGAATACTGGTCCGTCTCAGCGCGATCTGGTTTCAAGGTCACGGAATTCTTTCAACGGATTGCTGGTTTAGCTTTTGAAGAAGCTGTAAAGTTGGAAATTAAATCAGTAAATAATATACCAAAGGAACAAGCGGCTCAGGCATCAGTTAAATCGCAAACATTTGGTAAGCGTTTTTGTTGATTTTTATATATAACGTTCTTATTAAAACAGATAAATTACAGATTTACGTAGCTTTTTTAGCAGTCGCTTTTCGCCTCAAAAGAATGGTTGTGCTTGCTAGCCCGGAAATTTTATAAGTTATTTATAAGTTATTTTATATTTTAAGGCAAACACAAGGCGTTACTTAGTTAACTCCAGTAAAAAAAAAAACTTATTTCACATACATTTATATAAAGGTTTACAAATACATATAATGCATATTAACTAAAACTTAAGTTAAAAATTATTAAATATAACCGAGTACTTTTACCAGACTTCATATTGCGATTGAACAAATAACAATTATTTAAATGTGCTAATTGATTGTGTTTAATATCAATGACCTGATTTAAGCTTTTCTAAACTCACTTCTTAAAAAAGTAACGTATTTTTATATATTGCCAACAGAGCTGCCATACATTTTTTCAGCTGTGTTGCGCGCACACAATGTCAAGATAACTACCCAATCAACACTGTTAAGTTAATGAAAAGTGCTGTTAGGCGCACCAAAAGCGTGCTGTTAGCAGCGAAATTTCAGCGATCTGGCCACGCTCCTGTCAAATCGGGCTTCCGCTTTTTGACAACTGCCCCTCAGTTTTCCTTTTCATTTCTTTTTCTCGTAGAAATGCCACCCAAAAAGCCAACCGAGAAATCCGGTAAGGATTTTTCATATAAAAATAAGCGTAAAATGCGTGAACTGATCAGCAAAAGCAAGCCGAAAGCAAGGGCCACAAGCGGGAAATCAAAAAAGTGCGGAATAAAGCGATTTTAGAGCAGAAATGTGTTTATACAGTTAGGCGTGTGGATTCGGCCACGTGCGGTGTGGTGTCTGTAGGATTGTTCTTGAGTGTGTGTTTAAATGGGTAAACTTAACTTGAAGAGTGTTATATTTAAAGTTAAAGTGGTGTTATCAGCATTATTTCATTTGTTGCCTTGCTGATCGTTCAGGTCTAACCTTACTTCATGTTCGGGAACATGTTTACTAATTTGGACTTGGTGGTGCTCCTCTCTGTTTACAGCCAAGCCTGGCGACAAGAAGCCAGAGCAGAAGAAGGCTGCTGCGGCTCCTGCTGCCGGCAAGAAGGAGGCTGCTCCGGCTGCCGCCAAGCCAGCGGCCGCTGCTCCCAAGAAGGCTGCTGCTCCGGCGGCCAAGAAGCCCGCCGCCGCTGCTGCCAAGAAGCCAGCGACTGCTGGAGCTGCTGCCAAGAAGCCCGCGGCCGTGAAGAAGACGGTGGCCACCAAGGCCAAGGGCAAGGATGCCAAGAAGAAGATCCTCGCCGGCAAAAAGCCCCAGTCCGTGCTGGCCAAGCTCTCCGCTAAGGCTCGTGCGGCCGCCAAGGCCAAGAAGGCTGTGAAGCCAGGCACCAAGCCCGCCAAGGGAACCGCCAAGGCCAAGGCTGTGGCTCTGGCTAACGCCAAGAAGACCCAGAAGAAGGTAAGCTAATCGTGACCACACATAGATAACCCCAATTGACCTCTTACTACTCCTCTTTCAAACAGATCGTAAAGGGAGCCTTCGGCACTCGTGCCCGCAAGGTGCGCACCAATGTGCATTTCCGTCGGCCCACCACCCTGAAGCTGCCCAGGAGCCCGAAGTACCCCAGGAAATCGGTGCCCACCAGGAGCCGCATGGATGCCTACAACATCATCAAGTACCCGCTCACCACCGAGGCGGCCATGAAGAAGATCGAGGACAACAACACCCTGGTCTTCCTCACACACCTGCGCGCCAACAAGAACCACGTGCGTGCCGCAGTGCGCAAGCTCTACGACATCAAGGTGGCCAAGGTGAACGTGCTCATCCGCCCCGATGGCCAGAAGAAGGCCTATGTGCGCCTGGCGCGCGACTACGATGCCCTGGACATTGCCAACAAGATCGGCATCATATAAACGGTTCAACAGTCTGCGGTAACGTGTGGAATGGGCATCGCGTTCTACATGTTATATGTAGAGTCTTTTCTATTAACAAAATATTGCTAAGCTGACACGGTAGAGCGAAGATGAACGTTTCAAAGTTGTCTGGGTATAATAAAACCACTCAAAAACTAAGTGTGGGTTTTCCATTTTGGGTGGGCTTGATATCTCTTTCAGTTGTTTTTCTTTTAGGTAAGACTTCATAATCTAACATTTATAAAGGTGAGTTTAATCAATGGTAATTGTTAAACTTATTGCTAACATTATTTTTCTTTCTTGCAGCCAATCTTGAAATATAATGAAGCTTGCTTACCAATAAAAAAGGTAATTATAATTTCAATGTATACAAATAAAGCAAATCTACGAATTTGATGATATTTCGAGTAGGAATCTCATTGAGCTTCAGTCATTCGTTGCTTTGATATCAATTTTAATCTCTTACTGATAATAATATATTTTGAGCAATGTTTCGCATTTTTTAAATTTTTAATTAATAAAAATGGTTTTTTTCAGGTGTTCTAACAAATTATGTGGATCTTGGGTTACTTCTTACAAGGTGTGTATGTATTTTACTTATCCTGTAACTTAAAAAAAGCTTGCTCTGATGATATTTTTGGTAGGAATCTCCTTGAGCTTCAGTCATGCGTTGCTATGATATCAACTTAAATCCTTTACTGATAATTAAATTTAAAAAACTGAGCTGTCATTAAAAGTTGGAAACTAATCCAGACTTTTATTATTTATTTTAGTAACTCCAAGACGTATATGGATTCTTGCTTAAATTATAACAAGGTGTGTATAAATTCATAATAAAAAAATATAGCTATTTAATCTGATGATATATTGAGTAGGAATCTCATTGAGCTTCAGTCATGCGTTGCTTTGAAATTAATTTTGTCTCCCACTGATCTTAAACCTTAAACTATTTTGTCTACTATTTTAATTGAGACTAATTATCATTCCTCTTGTATTTTACAGAAATGGCCCACTAAACGGACATCAATTAAATGAATTGCAAAATAAAAGAGATTATATTGAAACATTGGTACTTTTTTATTAATGGCACTCTTAATATCTGCGAAATTGCTTCCTAAATTTGTCGTAATGGTAGTCATCTGTGGCTCGTTTGACTCCATTGGGATTCGTTTGATGCTGGGCGGACTTGTTGCCCTCCCTCTCCTCCCGCTTGCGTCTTCTTTGATCGCTGCTGTCCTCGATGTTAACTGGAAATAAACGTTATTGAATCTATAAATGTATGTAAAGGTTTATAAACCTACATCGATTGTGCTGCATAAAGTTCACCGCCATATTGGTGGGCACAAACTGTGAGGGACCGTCCTTCTTGTTCTTGGCATCCTGCAGCAGCTTCTGCTTGGCATCCTCGGTGGCCTCTATGTTGCGGATCTTGGCCACAATGCCGAGATCTACTTCTGGAATGCCATTCAGCATTTGGTTGGACAACATCTCCTCGGATCTGTGCGAGGACGATTGCCTCAGATGGTCGGGCAGAGCGTACAGGGCGGCATCCTCGGGCGTCAGGTATTTGTTCACATCCCCATCGTCATCCGCGGTGGCTTCTGTGCCGCCTCCCTTGCGCTTCTGTAGCTCCTGCTCGATGTACTTCATCATTTCCTCGTCCTCATCCCGCTTGTTCGTCTCCGCCGAGAACTGGGTACCAATGCCCACGTCGTAGGCGTCGTCAGCCTCCTTCATCTTCCCCGATTTCAACTGCTGCATATTAACCAGACCTCCGGTCTTCACATTAAAGGGATCCTTGATGGCCAGCTCCTCCTCGGGGGCCACCTTTTTGCCCAGTGCTAGACCCACTAAGCTGACGCCATTGGGTCGCTGTCTCAGGCGTTGGCGTTCTTTGATCTCGTCTAGGGTAAGCCTATATGGAAATTGTTGCTTAAATTGGTTAAACACATTGAAATAGTAAAGTCTTACTGCTCCTCCTGCTCTTCATCATCTGAATTCTTGCGTTGTCTTAGGTTTTTGCGACCGGATTTTTTAAAGAAAACCTTGGGGGTTTCCTCAGCTTTTGTTGCTTCGGCATCGCTCATCTTTTTAGTTTATAATTATATTACGATTTCAGAATTTGATGCAAATAAATACAAATTTGTTTACGTTTGGCTAGAAGTATGACCATGGCTGTGGATTTATAAATATACCATATATATGTTTTTGGTATATTTTTTAGGAAGTAAAGCATTTAAAGTATATTTGTAAGAGCCGGGTGGTATATTTATTTGAATTTCCAGCAGCCACACTGGTGGCGGCATTCTTTTGCAGGAATTTGGCATATTTTGACATAAAAAGTGTGTAATAACTAAATAAAGCTAGAAGATAGAACCCCAGCGCTTAGTTTCAAGCGTGCAAAAAGGAAAACTCAGGTGAGCAAATAAACTAAACTGATTGCAACTTTCTTTTGCACATACTGCAACTGAATTCGATTTTCCCTGTGCAATATTGCAGCGCTGGTGGAGCACCCAGTGGTCGCCGGGAACATACGTTGATGCTTTAGAGGAGGGGCTCCGCAGAACATCGGCATCAGCAGCATGTACAACGGCATTGGACTGACCACGCCCCGTGGCTCCGGCACCAATGGACACGTGCAGCGCAATTGGGCATGTGTGCGGCCCGGGAAGAAGGACAAGGACTATCGTGCCGAGGACGACACCAAGAAGCTGGACGCCCAGCTGAACAGGCCGCCCAACAAGGAGATTCTGGACCACGACCGCAAGCGAAAGATCGAAGTCAAGTGTCTGGAGTACGAGGAGATTCTTGAGAAGGAAGGGTGAGCTGGGGGATCTATTCGGTATTGCATGCATGTCATGTTAAATGGACAATCCGCAATTACATAATGCCGGTTTGGGTCTGTTGCTTCCTGTTCTGTTTATGTTTACATTGGCGCCTGGTAGCCAAACGCTCTTTCCTGCCAGAGAGCGGACGCACACGCGCCGAAATGTACAATGGTTCAACCACCAGCCCGGTGGCGAGAGCCACCCCTAAGCGGACAAACGACCCACACCCCCTCGGTGCGTCACATGTGAGCACTCTTCCGGTGGCCCGGACTCCTAGCTGGTGGTGAAAAAAGTGCATTTTAGTTGTACAGATTATTTTGAGTGAAAGACATCCGCATGTCCGGGCAGGCGGACAAAAAATTCAAGCACTTCCTACCTAGTTTTAAACTCTAAATAGTGGCAAAGTCCGGTTTAAGACTTATAAAAAACAATTAAGATAGTCTTAAAGGTAGAATTAATCACTGTAAATCTCTTACATATATCTGATCAATATAAATTCGATTTTCGCAGACGCACACCAGAGGAAATCAAGACCCATGTGGACTCGTTTCGCCAGAAGTTGATGGGACAGGGCAAAACAGATCTGGCCAAGGATGAATTCGGACGCGTAGCGTAAGTACAAAAGCTTATGTAATTTTAAATAAAACGTGCCCCCAACGTGGACAAATCAATAAACGGTTAAACAAAACGTCGGTGGTCTGGTGAAATCTCGGCCAGCTCACACGACAGCTGTAGGCCACACATGCGCCGCCGCAGCTCCCAGTTTGCCACCCACCCTGGAATCCAGGGGGCCAATCACAATCGAGAAGTGGTAGAGAAAATGCTGCTGCAAAGATTTTCCGGGATGCGCTCGACTTTCAGTCACTTCAAGTCTTCCAAAGCCACAGCAAGTTGGCCAAAACGCTCAGGAAACGCCGCGTAGCAACTAGATATATATATATATATATATATATACATTTACATACAAATTAGAAGCAATTAAAGACTTCTAAATAGACCGACTAAGACAGAGAAACCCAGGCGATGGAGTTGGCGCCAAGAAGCCGCCGCCGGGGACCCGGAAAAAAGTGCCCCTTTATCGGGCTGAAAAATCTTTTGAAAAATCAATAACCGCCCCGTCAGAAGTTAAGCAGGAAATGCAGCCATAAGCCTACTAATCAAAAGGGAAATCCAAAATAAGAATCGTATTCCCAATGACCTGGAGGGAGTGCTCGGCACCCAGGCAGCCCTTCAAGTGTGCTGCAGGAGGCGGAGGAGTGGCGGTGGTGGTGCCAGTGGTGGTGGTGGTGCCAGCGTTGCTGACAGGCAGCAGCCCTTGGGCCACCCCTAAATCAGCATTGCAACCCGCTGCCGAGCCGCGGATTAAACATTGTGTCTACTATTCTAGTGGTTGTTGCAAATGCTAACAAAGTGGAGCCCCATGGAAATTGAAATGGTGTCAGGACAGCAGAAGGCAACACTTGATACCTAAGCCGATCGAATGCAACAAATCACTAAATAAGTCTTCCAAACCTAGTCAGTAATTAATTAGTCTAAGTCGCGAAGTGGAGCAGCAAAGTGCGCAACCGGAGTAAATCAAACATCCAATGTCTTCTAAAAATATTATCCAACGTCTTCCAAAAGTATAAGGATACATAAATTTATAAAATACATCTCGGGCTTTGCATAATGTAGCCCAAAGTTTAAACAATTATATGCTAATCCATCGTCTTCCATTCAAAACCGATGAAATTGTAGCAAACGAAATATTTTTGTATTTTATATAAAGCATAAATATATTTGAAATCCACTGTCTTCCAAATAACATGGACTTCTAAATTTATTTACACTTAATTATATCGTTAAAAAAAATTATATATGCGTCGCGATAAAGTGAAAAAATATAAAGCATTGCTTTTTTTATAATCCACTGTCCTCCGATTACATGGATTTATAAATTTGAAACAAATATGTTGTATTAAAAAGCATACAAAACAAAAACTGAAAACCCGTGAATATAAACTAATAATCGACAAGTAATTAAATTAAATTAATTAAATCCATGAAGGAGTTAATTTACTTATATTAACATTATTTGGAATACATCGTCTTCCGCTTTCATGGATTGAGGTGGTATAAACAATAAACTTTTGAAAGCAAACGTTTTGCAAAAATAATATAAATTCTTGAAGTTTAAAGAAATAAATGCTTAAAACTTTTTATAAAGGTAATATAATATCGTGTAACAAATAACAAATATTCCAGGATCTATAATGTAAAAAATATATTTTTTTTAATGATCTGAAAACGCGAGAATGTGAAAATAATAATCAGAAATTAATTTAAAAACTCAAAAATCCGTAATCCAACCGTCTTCCGCATTCATGGATTTAACTTTTGAAAAGCAAACGTTTGCAAAATTTATATATTTTCTTAAAAACAAGTTAAGAAAAATAGGTAAACATTTTTATAAAGGCAATATAAGCTTTCCAATCGTGTAATATATAACAAATATTAAAGTGAATATTCTTAAAGACTAAGACAAAAGGGCAACCCAACATGCTCTCCTCGGAGATCTACAGTAACACCACATCATCCACAACCACGGCAACGGCGGCAGTGGGAACCACAGCGGCTGCCTCGGTGGCCACTGCCTCCACAACCACAACAACAACGATGGCAGCCACCACGGTGCAGGTGGTGAAAACTAAGAAACGCCGAAAGCGACGCAAACGCGCAGGTCACGCAATCACCTCCTTAACCACCACCACCAGCGCCACCGAAAAGAGCACATCCAACACGCCCGGTAGCAATCCCCCAAGTCCGAGCCCCTCCTCCGCTCCAAGTGCCACCGTCAACGGTGCCAGGAAGTGCAAGAAGGCACCTTATTTCCAACACGACAACCGGGAGTACCTGACCAAGTACGAGAGCTTCCGTTTGACCGCCCACACGTGGAACTATGCGGCGGTGGCCAGGAAGTTCAAGCCCTTGCGGCCGGCGTTGGCAAGCGGCGCCAACAAGACCAGGCGACCAGCAGTCGCCAAGAGGTCACTCCCGGAGTGCGCCTGCGCCTGCCAGCAGAAAGAGACGGAACCGGAGCCGGTGCCGGTGCCGGCACTTGAATCCAGTCATCACCGAACAGCTGAGCACTCCATCCACAAGAAGGAGCTGCCGCTGCCTGCGTCACATGCGAAAATCAACATCGATGGCAGCGTGCTGCTCGAGCTGCTCAAGTACTCCTCGAGCAGCCTGCTGGAGACACTGCTGCTGGGCAGCGGCAGTGCGGTGGCCACAAGGTAGCCACTTGGATAACTAAAACCCAGTTTATTTATTTAAGCACATATATTAGGCATTACTTTATTTTGATTCAGTATATTTACATAAAGCCGAAGCTCACTGGACCCTACCTTGAAAATTAAATAGCAGTTCGTGTAATATTTGTATATATTATACAATTGTAAAAGCTATTAAAGCTGGCTTTTATATTCTTAATCTTACTTGCACTCAATTTATTTGCCAAGACATTTAACCTGCAAATTTACATACGCCCGAATTCTTTTTGTTTTCAATATATTTCAGTCCCTTATTGACTTTTAAAAGGTTGCAAACCAAACGTTTGTAAATAAGAATAGAATTCATTTATTTGTTTATTTTTATTAAGGCTTTTGATTTAAATTCACTTGACCTAATTTTAAAACAAAAAAACATTTGAACATACTTGACTTAAGGCAGAATTCGAGATCATGTATGTATGTTATGTTGTAGTCACATATTGACTGATTGAGGGACTGATTGAATTTGTCTTAATGAGGCAAAGTAAAGTCTAACTAAACATTTCTAACAGATTGAAATACTTTCTGGAATTACCTAATATTAATAAATTCCATTAATTTTCCACTTGTAGTGCTCGCGACACCCATCAAATAGCCGAAGCACAGCAGCAGAAGAACGCCAAGCTGCGCGAGGCCTTCAACATATCCGAGTACTTTGTGGAGGGCAGCAGCTTCGACAGCGATCGCAAGGCGAAGGAGGATCTGGCCAAAAGCGTGGCTCTCCAAAAGGAACTGGACGCCCAGCGCGAAAGCCTGGCCGCGGCGGCCGCTGCCGCAGCAGCAGGCAAGGACAAGGAGACCGGCAAGCGGTATGCCCTAGTGCGGACTCCATCCCGCGAGCGGGAGCGGGATCGCGATGGAGGAGATGCGGCTGCCACCAGCAATGATGAGCGCGAACATGTCTCAAAGTCGGACAAGAAGAAGCGCAAGAAGCGTGCCAGGGAAAGGTGGGTACTTCACTAAATATCAGGGACTGCAAATAATGATTTTATTGGGTTAAAAATAAAAAAAATAACTGAAATAAA